GCCCCCGGCATAGGCTCCGTAGGGGTCAGGGGGCTGGCCCCCGGCTCTGCCTCCTTAGGGGTCAGAGGGCTGGCCCCCGGCAAAGGCTCCGTAGGGGTCAGGGGGCTGGCCCCCGGTTTTGGCTCCTTAAGGGTCCGGGGGCCGGCCCCTGGCTTTGGCTCCTTAGGGGTCAGGGGGCTAGCCCCTGGCTTTGGCTCCTTAGGGGTCAGGGGGCTAGCCCCTGGCTTTGGCTCCTTAGGGGTCAGGGGGCTGACCCCCGGCTTTGGCTCCTTAGGTTTCAGGGGGCTGGCCCCCGGCTTTGGCTTCTTAATGGTCAGGGGGCTGGCCCCCGGCTTTGGGTCCTTAGGTGTTAAGTGGGCAGCACCCTGCTTTGCTGCAATCCGTACTCCGGTGCCTGAAGACAATGTTTCGCCTTCAAATGGCCGAGTATGCAAAATGACTGCCGTGACGCACGAATAGTTGTATCAGAATTTTGCATTAAGTTTACGGATCGATTTGAAGGCGCTCTTCTGTATCGATTGTGAGTGGCCTTGTACAATGATGTTGACCAAAAAGTACATAAGTTTGGGTTTCAAATCGAGCCTCATATTCGAAAAATGCCGAGGAATATTATATCAAAAAAGAATAAGATTTTTTTTGGTCTCTACGTCTCATTTCAAAGATGAGAGCGCAAGCGGCTGGATCAGATTGTATATTTTAAGTTGCTTGCTTCGGTCATCGCATTCTGAAGCGAAACTGAAATAGTCGCCATTTACAAGATCGCAACTTACTCAAAAGTGGTTGTGAATTTAAGATGTTTCGCACGGATAAAATGAGGTTTCTTTGATTGACTGTGAATAATCAAAATTGAAGAAATGGTACTTTGTTCACTGGTCCATTAGGAAAGCGTAAAGCATGGATTAATGGAGCATCGATGACCGCCCCCACGCCGCATGAACATTTGAATGCCCCCAAATCTTCTCCGATGAATATTTATTTTCATGTGAAATTATGGATATTTTAAAAGAGCAATGGAAAGAGAAATAGAAATAGAGAGGGACGAAGTTCGAGAAAGTTAGGTCGTAAATCGCCACAGTTTAAATGATCTTATTTCTGCCAAACAGCACTATGTTTGCTATGACGTGAACCCTGTTATGCATATATTCTTATGGGTCTCCAGGCTCATGTCTTAATGCACATAGTTCCGTTTGGCAGAAATATGTCCAAATGGAGAGGAGGAAATTCTACCTCTATAAATTCATTGTAATTTTCTTTAAAAGGTCCCCTTCTAAATGTATGCATACATCAGTCCATAAGAAAAGAATATTATTGTATTTTTTGGTAAACTTTAATATTTGCCTCTCCACGTCCAGCACGTCCTAAAGTCCGATTCTGGAAGCTCTAATAGTAAGATTATTTAGCAAGCAATGTGTGTGTCTTGCGGTACAAGCATAGGGTCCAGGTATTTGGAAAAAAGGGAGGGAAATAACTTAGGCCAGACTTCATATTAAAAAAATATCAGACATTTATTTTAAAAAATCTAAAAAACTTAAAACAAACGAGGTTTAAAAACTCAACTTTATCCTTAAATATGACTGAAGACTCATTAAAGTTTATCGATTCAATATGTACCCACATACCCTAGTCAAACATCGCAACAATTTTCACTAGGTTTGTTACGATCGCTCCGAAGTTGGCGAATCCAAACTATCTTAGGAAACTTGGTCAACACAATACTCATTACATCAAACGAAAAACTTAACAACACTCATCAGCTTCATTATACTCTCAAAAATCTCGGTTAGAAATTCGAATCGAATTTCGCTTGGGAGCAAATGATCGGAGTGAATTAATTCTTCGACTTTGCTAATGGAACAAATTTCATCATCCACATTTTTCAGCGGTATCAGAGGCCTCGAATAAATCGTCACCTTCCAGGCAAAGTATCACAAGCGCCATGCGACGTTTAAAAATTTCTGCCGCCATTATATTTTTTTACAGATAAATTGTTCAACGAAGCTGTCCGAAAATAACACCGAATTTTCTTTGTGCTGCCGATAAAATTTAGTGAAATTTTCGAACAGATTCAACCAACAATTTCTCAGTAAAAAAATAAAATGGCGGCGGAAATTTTTAAACGTCGCATGGCGCTTGTGATACTTTGCCTGGAAGGTGACGAAATGTGCACTGCGCATTCTACTCCGAGATTTCTAGCGGTGTAAATGTGTTTTTTTTTTTTTTTTTAATTTCAAAGAGTCAATGAAGCTGATTTAATACCGCAAGCAAATCAGCAAACTAATTGCTTCGGCGATTTTAATTCGGAAATACTTTGCGACTAGAGCATTGGTAGTTATACTTCCGGCAATTATTTCCAATAACTATAGTCTATAGTCTATAGTCTATAGAGGCTGATTTTGTGGGATCGGCTCCGTGATTGGCTCCGGGGTCGGTGGTTGCTCTGTTGGTGGTTGAACAACAGCCGTTGTCGCTGGACGTGGAAATCTTGAGCAAAGAGAAAAAATTAGGAAAAAGAATGAATTAGGTCTTCCTGCAAGCTGATTGTTGAAATTGATAGACAAATCGATAGACAAAGAAGACATAAGAAATAAATAGCGAGGTGGTTCTCATAGACCAAGGGAGCATATGATGGACTAACTAAGGGGTCTCTCGTGGGTTGCCGTTAGTTTGTCTAGGACCTATACCTACTTTGTCCATTGTATTCACCCGCTTCCACCAAAAGGATCCCCCCATATCATCCCTTTTGTCATCTTTGTGTATCGCTGCGTCTATCAATTTCAATAATCAGGCTGCTGGTGGTTTAAGTCTTTATATTTAATATTTCTATTCCTTGTACTTGTACAGGGTGTCTCAAAGCTAAATTTTTGTAGTAAAGTTACAAAGTAAAAATACGAAGTTAAATTAATAGATTTTTGGGGCCAAAATAAGACTTTTTTGTTCCGTAAAGTGTTACCAAAAATCTCCTCCACTTTCGGAGTCACGCCCCCCCCCCCCCAAAAAAAAACTGCCTTAAAAATATGATTCCATTTTTATTTTCAAAGCCATATATGTAAGTTCGGTTTATCATCATTCATAACCATCATAATGAAAATAGAGCTATTTTTTGGTCCGACTTTTAAAGGGTTATAACTCTGAAAGGGGAGGAAATAATTTTTGGGAAAACTTTAAAGAACAAGAAGAAAGTCCTATACTTTGATTCAAAAAATTGATTTTGACAATATTTGCGTTTAACCTTAGGACATTCTAGATGTTACAGAATCAGACGGCATGTGCCTTAAGGTGGAAACTCTTAATTGAACTGAAATCAATCGAGAATCTGGAATGATCAATCTGTTCTCCACCGAAATTCCCTGATCTAGGATGAAACATTAAGTAGATTAAATTCTCACCTGACTTTGGACTGCTTCCTTCTCTTTCCGCGTATGAAAAGTTGATAAGCGATGCAGAGAAGAATCATGAGGAGAGGACCTATGATGATCAGCATGATCGGCAAAATCCTCCCGATTGTTCGGGACGAATACTCCTGCTGTCCTGCTCAAAATAATCAGCTTTTAAGTTTATCCCTAGCTAAAAATCTCTAGATTCTTTTCAGACTATGGGCTTCTTCGCAGTCAAGTAAAACTCCAAACGCAAGCAAGTTCCAGCGTAGAGGGGACTTAACTTAATGATGTGTCTTCATGATGAACAGAACTAGAATTTTTTTGCCGGGGGGGAGACGGAAGGGCACTTTTAAGTTTTACTCGCCTAGTAATTCATAATAGAAGGTACTAAACCGATATATTTGCTAAACTTATGTTCACCTTTCAAATTTTCTGTACGGGTCAAACATTAATTATGACTGTTTGCATATGGCTCCTAAGTCATTTGGGAAAGCAGATTCCCTAAGAAATATTATCATAACGTAATGAAAACATATCGACGGTGGAACTATACCAGACCGCGTACCTCGTTTAGGGTGTTTAAAGTCTCCGCTCCCATTTTATGAATTTCCCATATTCCCAATATTCCCATTTTTTTGAAAGAGAACAAATCTATATAATTTCTTGAAATTTTCACGCAGAGTTTTCTTCGCACGGATAAGAACAAACACGGAAGATTTCAAGGATTGATGTTGAGTAGTATTTTATTTAAAAATAGAGTATAACAGGAAGTCTACAACGTCGCAAACTGAGACATGTGGTCCGGTAGTTTCACCGTCGATATTGTTTATTCACTTGTTACACTTGAATTTTTCTACCTACGAAGCTCAGATCACACGCTGCAATTTTTATTGAATTTGGGCGTCATTGATGTGTTGTTGAATGTTATTTGAATGCTGAGGTGAGAAGCTATTTGAATAGAGCTCTTACAAATCAGTTTTGAAAAAACTCAAAGAACGAAAGCAAACATGTCGAGTACCGATTGATTCAACTCCAGATTCAGCAAAAATTGCAGCGTCTGATCCAGGCTTAAAGCTCTCACTGTTTTGCTCTTTCTTTGATAATTAATTTTAATTACATTATTTTGTACTGGTTTTTTTAATAATTAAGTTTAGAAACACATTTTAGGGATATAGCCAGACCACGGAGTTTTTCAGAAAATCAGACTGCAGACTGAAAAACTCCGTGGTCTGGCCGTATCCCTAAAATTTATTTCCAATATTAAAAAAAACCACGCAATATGCGGCTCGTAACTCATAATTAAGTTTACGTAAGGATATAAATCTACAAAATATTCGGGGAAAATTCCTCGCTCAAACTAGTTGTAGGGCCAACTATCTTTTATTGTTGGTCAATATTTTCCGAATCGGGGGAGAGATTGGTAAAATTTCTTGAATTTGGATGCGATGACTACTTTTTAGCTGCATTATATGTGGGCGAGGGGGAGGCGTACCATTTAGGTCCCTTAAGACCAGTGCTGTAAGTATTCCATCCTGAAGAGCTTCAAGCCTAGACTTAACTTTTTCATTTTAAAGGATTATCTCATCAATTTACACAGGTCAAGTTTAATGGAGGAAGATGTAATTGAGTCCTAAATTTAGAAGAGCTTTATTAAAAATGTATACTTAAACAAAAGTACTCACATGAGCGGCAGCATTGGACGGCAAGATATAAGGAGAGGGGGGAATATAATGTACAAAATTATCACATACCCTCAGTCAGAGCGCTTAAGCTAGAAAGCGTGTCACCAGGAAGATGACACTTGATTTACTCATCAAATAATGCTACAAAACCATAGTTTTCATTCCACTAATTTGTTCACATACGTGAAAATTGCATTTAACAATTTTGATCAGTACTTGACTAATTTATCATTCAACGTAATAATAATATGGAGTACTTAAACGACAAAATCATGACTAACCAATATGAATGTTTGCTTTTCAGGGAACATATTACGAGATTTGAAAGTTAAAGCTAACATAAAACCATACAACTGTATTTTTTCACAACGTTTCTCCTCGGAGAACGGGTTGGTAAAATACAATCGACTGACTCGATGAAACTCAAATACGAGAGTCAGTACTCAATTAGGAGTAACACGCAAAAAATAATTGTTAGGAACCTCTTGAATCATAAGATTGTGGTACCATCATTAGCGCAAAGACACTCCTTTCAAAGAATAAGGAGGCATGTTAATCGAGTGAAAGTCGCAGTCAGTCAGAAATGTACGGCAATTTGCAAGTGGCATGCAGTCGAACTCGGTTTTTAGCGCCTTCAAATCCTGGCCATACTCTCCGCGTTGTCGGGGAGTCAGTTTGGTCGCCTTTCCGAGTCAAACCCCGATTTTACTATACGCATTTGCGAAGGTGCTAGCTGGTGCCATGCATTCAGGTGGAAATTGAATTTCCAGCTTAAGTATCAGTACTTTCATTCATGTTCCTCTTCACCTGAATTTTGACCCATTTTTTACAACAAAAATAGATTGCGATTCGCCGGTGATCTCTAACTGCTCCGACAGATGGATGTGACAATAGTGCGGAATGACATGATGAGAGTGAGGATGTGCACGATTGGAAAAGCAAGGAAATTCTTACAAAGAGATGAGGGCTTAAGGTGCATTTGAAAAACAGGATTCAAAAATATTGCTCCTGAACATACAAAAAATGAAGAGAGGATCCTTTCAATTAATTATTCGTATCTCTCAATTTTTTTCATTTATAATTTGCAAGAACTGAGAGAGCTAAATTACATTGCAATATTTTACATTCCTATCATTTCGCCTACTGGTTTTCACCTGTTCTTTCTTGAGCGTTTGCTAGCACGAAAAACAAGCTGCAGTGTTATTTGAATAAATAATTAAATATGACAATTAATATTGACATGACATATTAATATTGACATGATTGCAACTTAGCAATTTTCAGGCTACAGTTTTAAAACAGAGGCATGTAAAATATTACCCACACGTATTTTTTGTTCTTTTCCTTGAAACTGTTCATCTCGTCCGCGTGTGAATAACTAGTGGAACGAAAACTATGCGTCTCGAAAAAATATCCATTTGAACTTTCCTAAAGATAAACTTTCGATGAATTAAAAATATTGTTCCTTCAAGAAAAGCAAAAACTACTTTCAAGTACAAAATTTCCTATCTTGTTCTATCTAAATGGTTGAAAATTTCAACATTTCGAATGTACATATACAAGGAAACTATTCATCAAGACTTACCCGTATTGTCGTTATAGAAATACAATTTTAATCGTACAGGTCTCAAGAAGCTCATTGGTTGAAACCCGAGAGTATTAAAAGACAACTTAAACTTTACGACTTAAAATATCAAAAAACATTCAAATTACATATTTATGTACAGTTTTGTACGTCTAGACAAGTCCTTTACGTAGAAGTTTATCATTAATTTCGCTTAAATGACTTATTAAATAATTGACGAACTTAGCTCTTTGTACATCAGAATTTTATTTCTCATATAAGAGTTGAGAGCGATTCCGCAGCACTAATCTGGAGAACCCAGTTCCAGTTAAGTTCTTTTCGCAAAATTCAGTCAACACCGAGAATTTTACCAAAAGATTCCTAAACTGGGTGGCATGAAACGTAAGAAAGAAATAAAAGATTGGAACTTTCAGTGAAATATCACGAGGCTGTGAGATATAATTTCATATTCTTCAGGGGCTAAAGTTTGCAACCCGCACTCACTCAAAATTAGGAGAAAGTCACAATTTTTAAATTTTGCGACACATGAGAAGTAACCGGTATTTTTCAATATCTATCATTAATTTCTGACATTTCATGAAAAGTTTCACGTGAAATTTCAAGATGTTATTTATCATGAAATGCCACCCTGTTCCTAAATCAAAGTCTGGATCTGCGTCCGTTTTTGGGGGGTTTTGGCAGGGGGGCTAGCCGTGGAGTCCGGGGAAGCGCTGCTAGAGGGGACAGGGCGGGTGGGATCAGCAACAGGGACCGGGCGAGGGAGAGCCTGCCGCTGCTGGGGTTGGCGGGTGTAGGTCAGGGTGGAGGGGGAGGCGGGGAGCGACGAGGGGGACGGCGCCCCCCTCGGGGGCCTCGCCCCGGGCCCGGCATACTGGGGCGAGGACATGGGCGTGGAGATATCGCTGCCGAGGGTGGTGTTGTCCTCCTCGTATTCCAGGTCCCAGACCTTGTCCTCGAACTCGATGTTGGGTTTCCCGGGGAGCGGCTCGTGGGTGCGGTAGATGCCGTCGTAGAGGACCGGCAGGGGTTTGTCCTTGGAGGAGGGCGTCGAGGACTCGGAGCTGCGGAGCGTGAAGGAGATGTTTGAGAGCTCCTTGTTGATCTCCGGGTCCTTGGAGCGGGCCTCGCGATCCGGGCTGCGGGTCCCGGCGAGGGCCTGGACGAAGGACATCCGCTTCCGGGCCGCCGGGCCGGACTCGTACTGCCAGGAGCCGGGCGCCCCGGCCGGACCCAGCGACCGACGCTTCCGGACGACGTAGTTGGCGAAGCAACAGAGCGCCACTAACAATGGTACCACTATGACTACAATTATGCCTATCGTTATCCACGCGTTCCTCGATTCGTACTCCACGTGACCTGGGGCAGAAAACCAGGCGTCAGTTGGCGTATCAAAGCCGACCCCTTTTTTAAAAAGGCCAGTCGGTTCTGAATTTTTTTTTCGAAGATTAGATTCTCTATTTTTTATCCCAATAAATTACAGACATTCTCAGGATAGTTTTAAGTTTTAGTTTTTTTTTTAAATTCCGGTGATTATTGGAGGAATTACATCTGTTTTTGTCACGCAAGGTCAGTTCAGAAAAAGGCCATTTAAAATTGTTCCTCCTTTCCATTTTGCGATATCGAAAAGTTTAGTTTTTGGACACTTTTGCCCCTTTTTCTCAGGATCTACTGTTTGGATTTTCAAGAACTTTTTTTGTTAGACATCTCTAAATTTCCTCTTTAAATTGACAAGTGATTGTTTTAATATGTTGTTAACTAAAGTTTTTAGAAGACTTGGAAGTGAAAAAATCATTAAAAATAAAATGAAAATTTCAAAATTGTCTCAAAATTTTACTTTTAGGAAAATCGAAATAATTACATGTCAATTGAAAGAACACATTTAGGCCTGTCTAACAAAAACAAAGTTTTTAAGAATCCATTCAGTGGAACCTGAGAAAACGGGACTGATAATGACATGGATTTTAATGTGTAGGGATAGACAGAACCGACTGGCCTAAAACCTCTCTCTCTCTGGCCGAGTAGAAGCGGCTTCCATAAATATTACATTTGATTTTAAATCTCTTTGTGTTCAAAATTACTAATTTAATGATACACTGCGGAAGTATTCCCGCTGTTGAATACATTGGTGACAGTACATCAAATTGGCAGTAAAGATCTGTTGGGCGATATGACTTGTCAACAACGAGAAATATTATTTTTTCAGGTACGGAATGAATTTCAATTGGGAAAAAGGTATCATGTGCCTATCTTGAGAATCACTCTACAAAGAGATTTAACAAAAAAATTCCTATTAACTATGAATAGTTGAACACTTTCACGCTGATCGAATGAATGGAATGAAAATTATGGTTTTGAGCAGGGAAAATTATTTTATTATTGAATGAATTCAACTGATTTTCTGGCATGAAAACTGTAGATTTAAAATGCGTAATGTGTTTTGTCTAAAAACGATCAATATTTCACCTTCCAATGTAAACTTGTTTATGCATATACGTATATTTTGTTATCTTATCCTCCGTGCGGGTAAAGGCGAAATAAATGGTTAAAAGTCTCAGCTACTGTGCGGAGGAGTAATTTGATATACAATGTGGAGCACTAGACAGAGGACAAGCAAAACCACTTCAAATGCTCTCCCCTCAAAATTTTACTCAATAAAATGGGTCTTACGACAGAGGGTTTGGAAATTGACCTCTGAAAGATGTAAAAGTATTTTTTAATGATCATCAGTCAAACAAAATAATACAAATGACGTCATCTGTATGACTTATGTCCATCTGATCAGTATTTATGCTGAATGGAACTATGTGCAAGTGAAAAGATGGGATGTGCTCGTTAGTTGAGGGTCATAAGAATGAATGGGAATTTAAAGGCGCCAGTGACGTCAGCGGCAACGAACGAGCCCGGGCACGACGGGGAGATCGGTGACGGGACTCTTTAACTCGTGAGCCCTGTGCACAAGGCTCTTGTCACATGCCCACGGCTCACGAGTTAGCACTCAATTCCTTTTGATTTAAAAATCCTGATTTTCCATGTTTTCAAAAGGAACTAAATCTACTTTTAAATTGTTTCTCATATGCGGCTTCCACGAGCACACCACATCTTTCCACTTGCACATAGTTCCTTTTAGCATATATACGTCCAGTTTTAAGTGAGTATATTAATACCTCGCAACAAAGTTAATTACCGTATTTCCCATTGCGTAAATAGCTTTCTCGTTAAATTTTGGAGAGGGAACATAGGTGCGGTGTTTTACCTTGCTAAGATAGGTTTTTAATGCCTCGTCTAGGGGTCCATTTTGCAGAAAAATCAGGCAAAATTTGGTGCGAAAAAGCAGCGCGGTGCAAGAAAGAAAAGCCGGAAATAAGAAAAAACCAAAGATTGGGAGGTTCTAACATAGGTGGACTGAGGCAATAATTAATATGGTGCAACAGAATTTACACTTGGGGCGTCGACAATTTTGAGCACGAACCCAAAACGTCTCACGAAAATCACTGGATCAGAAAGTTTACTATTAGCTGCTCATATCTAATTTAGTAGCCTTGTAAGATCTTCATGAGATATTTTCAGCATCCCGATAAGATAAGTGAATAGGTGATGGAGTTATGATTGATGCCATGTGATGGGTCAATCGATTTCCGCATGTAATTCAACAAAAACTACGGAAGTTACAATTTCTAAATTCTTTGAATTCAATTCTCAAATTACTCTAAAAACATTCTCTCTAAAATAATTATCTCTAATTTGTGTACAAATTTATTAAAGTAAATTCTGAATTTATATTGACAGTTTGGACGTTTCTTTTCTGTCAAAAAATTCACAAAAATACTGCTCACATAACTTTGATATCGTATAAACAATCGAAAATATCTCACTCCTGTCGGAAATCGATCGACTCCTTATGAAACAGGACGTGTTGAAAGGAAAGAAGGTGTCAGCAAAGTTAAAGAAGATGTGAAAATAAGGGAGCACTCACGAAGGCATTCCGTGTAGCCGTATTCAGGGATGTCCCAATGACCATCCGCAGTGCAAGTTCTTCGTTGGTCACCGATCAGAACGAAGTCCTGGTTACACTCGAAGGTTACCTTCGTTCCGGGAACGAATAAAAAGTTACTCTTCCGCCCGAAGCGCGGGGTCTCCAGGATCCCGCAAGAAATCACTGGAAAATAAATGGATATCAGTTGGAGTGTTGTTGCGAATAAAATTATGTTAATGGGCTAGTTGCGCTGGTAACAGAACCGTGCTTTGATGCTTAATTTTTGTAGATTAGCTAAAAATAAGATCAGTCCAAACAGCAACTTTCTACGTTGAATAGCAACCAAGATATGGCCCTTTGAAAAGTCGGGTTTTTGACGTCATCCACCGCGGTAGTGCATAACATGGCGTAACATGGTATTATGAGTGGTTTCTCACAAGTAATTAATAATAACTGCACGATGCATTAGACTGCCACTACGCGAAACGGTCAAGAAAATTCAAGCGCCTTCAATTTAGGAGCATGCAACACAGACGTCCATCGAGTACGAATAGTTGTATTCGGAGTACGAATAGTGGTATGCGTCCGTGGTTGAAGGCGCTCGTGTTTTTTACACCTGCCGCTCTAGCATGCGCGGTCGTTCGTCTCTTGTCGTTAGGGCTAAACGATTCTTCTTACACCTGAATTTTGAAGTAGCGTTTCTTAACGTATACTTAAAGATATAATGAAGAAGGAGGTGATGTTTTTGTGGTTTTGAAGAGAACACTGTTATATTTGAATAATTTCATATAAGTTTTGGACTATAAACGATGAAACTACTTAAATTGAAAATATGTACAGACAAGAAACAACAAAGTTTCAAATAATTTTGTCCATACTTTACCTTTATGAGAGAACTTTAAGGAATACCTTTGCCCAAAATTATAATAGTTATGAAAGGGTTAATGGAAATAGTGTGTCATTTTGTGCAGTAACCATGATCACTCCTTTAAAAAGGAGGTTTCGTAATTCACAAGCAAGTTACAAAGAAATGCATTAGTTTGCTTTATTTTGTAACAGTTGTATGATTTGACCTCAATTTTTATGAAAATGAACTGTTCGGCTGTTTCCACTGAAGTTGTTCATTTTCATAAAAATGGAGGTCAAATCATACAACTTTTACAAAATAAAGCAAACTAATGCATTTCTTTGAGACTTGCCCGTGAATTACGAAACCTTCTTTTTAAAGGAGTGATCATGGTTACTGTACAAAATGTCACACTATTTCCATTAACCCTTTCATAGATATTATAATTTTGGACAAAGGTATTCCTTAAATTTTGTTTATAAAGGTAAAGTATAGACAAAATTATTTGAAACTTTGTTGTTTCATGTCTGTACATATTTTCAATTTAAGTAGTTTCATGTTTCATCGTTTATAGTCCAAAACTTACATAAAATTATTCAAATTTAACGGTGCTCTCCTCAAAACCACAAAAACATCACCTCCTCCTTCATTATATCTTTAAGTTGACCTTAAGGAGCGCTACCTCACCATTCAGGTGCAAAAAGAATCGTTCAGTCCTAACAACAAGTGATGAACGACCGCCCATGCTAGAGCGGCAGGTGTAAAAAACACGAGCGCCTTCAACCACGGAGCATACCACTATTCGTACACCGAATACAACTATTTGTACTCGATGGACGTCTGTGTTGCATGCTCCTAAATTGAAGGCACTTGGATATTCTTGGATTATGTAGCGGCAGTCTAATGCGTCGTGCAGTTATTATTAATTACTTGCGAGAAACCACTTAGAGGAGTATGAGAGCCGGTAAGGGCGGTCCCTTCTCGATTAAATAAAATCCCCGCGCGCGTGATAGAAACCACTTACCTCTTTTTTCGGGCGAATTTTGCGATTTGATAGCCGTGAATTGCTTCTGGTAGGACAGAGTGTAGTAGGCAAGATCGCGATTCAAAGAGACCGCATAATCGTATTTACACTGGTACGAGTCACCACAGAGTTCATTTGCTCTTATGACATCTTGAGATCTGTTCAACATCGAAAGGTTTCGATGAATATCAAGAAAAAACATGGATTAAATCAAGGAAATTTTACTATTTAGTAAGGAGGTTTTGGGTTGATTTTAGTGAGTTAATTTCGAAAAGTTTTTTAAACAAGGCCGCAGCGTAATTAGAAAGTGAGAACCTGAATTCTATATTTCTTTTATTGAATTTCTTTCTTTCTTTCGCCCCTTTTTTAACCGTTACGAGGGAAAATATTATTTTCAGGGTTGTATACGCCTTAGAAATCCTAAAACCTCGGGAAATCCTTACTTGGAGGGGAAATCATGATATGACTACTATTTTTCGTGCTCTACAACAATGGCATGCAAAATCTAAAATAGTTCTAGTTACCTACATTGTTTTAATGCTGGAAAATGTTTCCCANGGGGGGGGGGGGGCGCATTCAGTCGTCTGATTGAAGGAACTTTGTTATCAGGAAGAGCTCAATATAGCTTAGATCTTAGGTAATCATACATGCATAATTGCATATCTCTGTATTTTTTGCTGTATGAATCCTAAAATTACTTTGTTTAACTCTATCATTCCCTGGTTTCAATTTTAACTTAACTAAATACAATTTTAAAGGGATCTTTCGATTTTTCGGAGAGAATTTGGCAAAACTAGAAAAATCAAGGTCACCTTCGGAATCAAGGATAATACTTGACTTTGAATCATTACCAAAGTCAGTAATGAATCATTAAATGACCAATGTAACCTATTAAAAGGGAGACATGCTGACTGTAATAATTGAAATGTACGTTCATGAGTATTATATAACGCAAAATTACCGGTTTGCCGGGATTATGTCGAAGGGAGTGGACCGCCATTCTGGGACGAAATATTCGCTGGCGTAGTAACTGGCCGTGCGTCCGTACTCCCGGTGAAATAGGGCTGCTCCTTTATTCTTGTCTTCCCGGTCCTCCAGTAGCCCTGTTCAAACATTCATTTTTAATTGTTGCTATTTCAGATTCAAAAAGATCATCGTTTGGTCTCATGTACCACGAAAAAATGACCACCCTCTGTAGAGTGATACAGGGCAATATTGCAAAAATGAAAATATCTCGCGAATTGTTTCTTTTACATTATTCCTTGCTTTTTAGAAAAAAAAGAGCAGATATCACTGCTTATTATTCGCTTAAATTGGTTGTAATTAAAAATTGCAAAAATCTCAAGGCTCCATAAGTCTGCAATTTATATTGGTAAGGCACAGATATTTGAAAATCGCGATCGCTAAAATTTCAAACCTTTTGAAAGTAAGAATTTGTAAGCCATTTTTTTAAATTTGGGTCATATCAGCCAGAATTTGGTGCCAACCCAACAAAATCTAACAAAATCTTAAGCTGGTCAAAATAACTTTTCAAAATATTTCACAAAAGATGTAAACAAAGTTGGAAACAGCAATACATTGCAATTCAAGAGATCCTATAGGTAGAAGGAAGAAGAAGCGTCTGAAATTCTCTTACATTTTATCGCAAAATCTCTATGAACCCTTTCAAAGTTGTTCAGATTAGGGTTGACAGTAGAGCCGTCTGGGAGCACGAAATCGTCACTCTGATCAAGGCTCCATTTCCCAAGAAGTCCAACGGTTTGATTCTGAAGAGAGAGAAAAAAAAATTATTTAGAGAAAAGAAAAGTCAGTAAGTATTTTTCATCTTAAAATAATTATAGGGAATCTTGATACGTGATTTGTCTCAAATTAAAGTTTATAACACGTTCCGTATATTTTTAACTCTCAACATAGTAAATATTATATTTTATAAAAAAAAAAACAGCACATTATTTTTAAATTCATTGCTTTGTGACTGCCCCGAGAAAAAGTATCTTATCACCGAGTGATTCAAAACGTACTCAATGACTATAGAGATGTGAGTTTTGAAAGTTATGGCACAAGAAAGCTTACAATTGTCATACCACACCGAAATCATTTTAAAGTTAGCAGCTCACAAAATCTGAGAGCCTTCGTTTCTACTCGTAGTTACAATCTTATTTGTGTGATAACAATTATTTCCTTCCATGGTAACAATGCAGCATTGTGGTCGGGGTTTAAGCACTATTATACCGGCGGACCATACCACAAATGGACGCATTTCTGCCAAATAGATCTATGTGCATCGAGACATGAGCCCTGAGACCCATAAAAATACATGAATAACAGGGCTCACGTCATAATGCACATAGTTCCGTTAAGCAGAAATGCGTCCAAATGATCCTTCGACCATAGCTAGAAAAATAGGATGAACATAAAATCCAGGCGGAATTGTATCAAGAATTGTAAAAGCAACGACTGTACTTTCTTTGTTGCACTGGATCCAATTTTTTCCAACCAACCGCCCTCAAACAAATACATTTCTTAAATATTCAATGCGGGTATCTCTAACTTTTTACCTTTACGAAGAAAAAATCCTTACCATGAACTGCATCGGTAAGTAAACCCTGGCGGTCATGTATCCTATGTTCTCGACAACTTCAATTCCGACACCGGACTGGAACATGACGACGACCTCTGATTGGTTTAGGATATGCGATGGTGTGTAAACGGTGACTCCTGTAACAAGAATTGAGGCTGGACATCATACTCCATAACATCACGTGGATTCTATCTTAAGCGGATGTACAGCTCATTCTGATTGTGAGTGGAGGCGTGGCGCGCGGCCGAGGCGGAATCCAACCAAAACTCATCGACAAAGCGATCAGTAATCATTGCTTCGGTTAAGGCTCTTACTGGCGCAAGTTACAGTACACGAAACTAGGAATTTTGAGTGACAGAACAACTCAAAATAATGTCGAATCATTGTATAGAACGACATCCTGTCGAATGTTTTGAACCGTACTTTTGCAGTCTGCATAGAGAGTTTGATTTCATTAACCTTTCATTATACTTACTCTTTATATTTTACTCTTTTGTATTATTTCACCCATTTTAGGGACCGTGGACTATTCAATTAAAATTGTAAAATGTGAGTGCTTTCTAATGGGCTTTGGAATTAATATGTGGAAAATCAGTTGCACCATTAAGTACGTATCTAGGGAAATAGCGAAACCACATATCTCCGTGTGCAACGCTGCAGACTTCCTTTCATATTTTGTTTCTATTCTAAAACGTAAAATACGAGCCGAGTAATGGAAACACTGCAATGGAGATACGTGGGTTCAAACTTAAGATATCGATATGTCGCAGGCAATTTGCAAATTGGCGAATTACAATATTGTGCACCGGCATAACGAAGGTTCGCTTGGTAATAGCCTTCAAAGTCACGATCCTAGATTGGAGCGCCTTCATTTTTTTATAATACTCTGCGCTCTATCCTGAATTTATTTTGGTTGCCAGCCGGAGCTTAATTGCGGGGATAGATAATTTTCAGGTTTTAAAAGTTTACTGAATTTCTGATTTTTTTAAAATGAATTTTATTGAATTTGATGTAGTATTTGGAAAGTTATGATAGATTGAATAAATTCACTAAAAAAAGATGTACGTGAAAGGGTAATGCCGACCTTGAAAGACCTAAGTCATGAGGTAATAAATTATCAGATTTTTTTTCTGAGTCACTCATATTACAGGAAAACTATAAAAAAATGCTGCCAACTCGGCTTATCTCACAATTTCATTTGAAATAGCAACGTTTTGCGAAACAACACTGGAAAAAAAACACATTGGATCTAGATTCCACACTCTTAAAAACATCGACAAGAAAAAATACTCTTGATTCAATCAGATATAAGCTTAAATCAAGTACCAAATCTCTTCATTTGAGCGGATTTCCTTTTGATTTAAGCTTAAATATGATTGAATCAAGAGTCCTTTTTCTTGTCAATGTTTTCAAGAGTCTGGACTCTAGATCCAATGTGTTTTTTTTCCAGCGAATGAAAACACTCAATTTTAATGGATGCTTCTACCAAAATGTTTTTCAGTTATTTATAGCCACTTTAATTTTTTACTAGGGAAAATGATTGGGAAGTTATTACCTTGGAAATGTTGAATACGATATGGAGGTCGATCAAAATAGACACGCTTTCCGTCCGCAAACACGTCCAATCTATACCGCCATTGAGCGTGACGGGGCCGGACCCTTAATTCAATGATTGCAGATGTATTGTCACGCGCTGAAAAAAAAGAAGAGAGAGGCATTCAGTTTTTGTTACAAATTGATTAACATGTTTCTTTGTTTTCAATAAATTGAGGCACTGGATGCGAAAAGGGCACTTCTCGATTGCGGTGTTTCAAAATCTCAGTTGTTAATTGGACGTATTTCTGCAAAACAGAACTATGTGCATCATGACGATAGCCCTGTCATGCATCTAATCTTATGGGTCTCAAGGCTCATGTCTTAATGCACATAGTTCCGTTTGGCAGAAATATGTCCAATTAATCTCTTGGAGAAGAATTTGATGGGTAATTTTTCCAGAATTATTTCCATAGGAAATTGTAGAATCATGAAGAATATTCTGTAAAATTTTTAGAGAAATGGATGCATTCACTTTCCTTACAATGAATGAAATATTAGAGGAGACTCTGAAACACTGCAACCGAAAAGTGCCCTTTCTGCATCCAGTGCCTCAATTCAATATTTAAGTAGTGGGATCAGATCAGAGAAATTACAATTCTTTGGAATCTCCGACAATGGACCACTAAACACGGTACAAAATTAAGCATTCTGATACATGTTCAAAACCAAAATTTCACGTAAAACACGATTCGTGCGACAAAAATTACTGACATTAACTCCTTACCAAGATACTTAATGTTTCTTGTCGCATAAATTCAAATCTCCCGCTCACGAAAACACGATGGTCTACGTAAGTCAAATCGCACATAAAACATTACTGTGGCAGTCTTCGCGATAAAATATAGCAACCTCTATCTTGACGCTTTGGCTACGGTATACCAATTTTTTTAACACTTCGTGCAATAACTGGTGGGAAAGGAACATTGCACGATTGAGAAGCCTGTCAAAACCGTTGTAAGACGCGATTTGACTCAGGTAGAGTATTGTGTTTCTTGTGAAGGGGCTATGCAAATTTCTCGTAAATAATGAAAAAGGAAAACGTTAATTAGGAGTAAATTAGGAGTTGAAATCAGTAATTTTTGATGCAAGAATCGTGTTTTACGTGAACTTCTGTTTAAGAAACATGTATCAGAATGCTGTAGTTCGTACCTTGTCTAGTAATCCATTTGCTGCATTCAAACGTGGAATTTTTCGGTCCATCGGTTACTTTGATCTGAAATTGATTATTTTCAGGTACTACAGGCGTGATCAAACAGGCGCGAGATGTATCGCATTGATCAAGTAAAGAATCTTGACAAATTTTCAATTTTTAGGCCAAGAAACAGTGATAGCACCAGCACACTGGCTGTAAGAATAATCTGCAACGGAAAAGATTCTATTTCCTGGAGACAAATATAGGAACTGACTGTGAACAAACTATCGCATTCGATACAGCAATAGGTCACCGTACTGAATTCAAGTTTTTTTTCGTGGTCATATCTTGTTTCCATTCCTTATTCGACGTTTGAGAATTTGTCTCGTTACGAATGATGACTTTATCGATGTTTTTTGGGCCCTTCAGTCAAAATCTTTGACTTTCATCAAAGTTTACTTAATCGGTGCTATTATATACCACACCATGGATCCGGAGAGAATTGCCTCAAATGTAGATTCAGGCCTGACATTGAGGGTTTAAGGGGGATGATATTTTTACCTGCGATGGAAGTAAGCTGTGTTGCTCTGACAGGGCCGTAAATATTGTCGGGAAGCTGTTCGAATCTTCCTTGGATATCCAGCTTTGTTTTTTCCGAGTTCGTGTGGACGAGGACGAACTCCCCTTTGCCGTTGAACGTGTACTGGACGTCATCGAAAGTAATGAAGTGTGGGTCTCCAAAAACGGTCCCTAAAAGCCAAAAAGAGATAGATTAGTGTGCCACAAATAATCCTCAATTGGAAAAATACTCTGATGTGTTGGACGTTGGTCGTGGTGCAATTCTTTGAAAGAAAACAAACGGAATTTTTTTTAAAGTGCCTGTCAACTTCCGTCTTTCATTCAAAAGTGTCCATGGAAAATTTCAGCCAGTGGTTAGTCTCCTTTTAAAAGAATGAACATGAGTGGAGATTCTTGAACTTTAAGATGATGATTCACATTTTCCGACCTTTTGTGAATTCTTCCCTTCAGCGTAAATACGTCCAATAAGTGTTCACTGTTAGTTAAACTGCCAGATTTACGCAAATTTCAAGAAAATTTTACTCAAAATGCTGTTACATTTGAGAAGTTCTTAGGCTGCTCTCAATCACGACGACGCACAAGGCGCGTTAAGCCACATTTTTTATTGGAAGAAGCTGTGTAGGGAACGAATATGAGGGCCCCTTGACTTCGACAGTGGCGATTCTTGTTAGATGGCAACACTGTTTTTCCCCGTTTAAATGTATGTAAAACCATCGATTTTTGGTGAGGCAGCCTGTCCCACCTGCAATCGATATATTCAGTGCATATGAATGAAACAGTGTTGCCAACTTGCTGGAATCGTTCCATGTCATTTTGACCACCGAATTTGTACCGCGGTCTTCACCGGGCGAGTCTTTTCTCATTTATGAATTTGTGTCCCGATAGAATGTGTGATGTGGGTCACGAAAGCTATGATGAGCGGATATCTTACCGACGGTGGGCGACTGATAAGCGACGCAATCTTGGGACGGGCGCCGCTCGAATCGGAAGGTTTCGCAACCGACGGCCTGCTCCTCCTGCCATAAACAGCACATGTAGAACGGGCTCATGTCGTGGAACCATTGAGACAACGTCGGCACCTACAAAACAATACATTCCAATAAAAAATGACGCAAACACTTGCATATTCTAGGGCTCATACTGTAGACATCTCTAACACGGAGGAACAGTGTTCGTCTTAAAATCCTACTTACTTTCTTAGTCGTACGAGGGGCGTTCAATAAGTAAGTATCCCCCCCTCTCTAAAATCCATAAGAATGGACCAATTTTAAAAAACTTGGGCTCAAAATCTTCCTTAGGATATTTTGAGTTCAACAAAACAAACCGCAACAAAATCGGACCATGTGCGGCCGAACGCGAGCCGTTTGAAAGCGCCGAGGTGCTCGACGCTCCCGCCGAATCTGCGAGGATTTGAAGTCCGCTACAGGAGAAGAGCTTCTCTGCCAAAGCCTCAGTCGTTCATCACTGACGAAAAATCAAAGAAATTTTTGTAGAATAAGGGGCTTACCTCACTTCTCCACATAACCAGCTCGATCCAAGCAAGTCTGATACTGAGACTAAGACTAAGAGAACAGCTTTTGGATGCCTCGTGCGTGGAAGTCTTTCAGCTGACCGCGGATGAAAGAGTGGACGGCTTGTTTGACCTCTTCCACTGATTCAAAATTAACTCCTCCGAGTTCAGATTTCAGATACGGTAATAAATGGCAAACCAGACCACCATTTATTCCCGTTCCTGAAATCTGAACTCGGAGGAGTTAATTTTGAATCAGTGGAAGAGGTCAAACAAGCCGTCCACTCTTTCATCCGCGGTCAGCTGAAAGACTTCCACGCACGAGGCATCCAAAAGCTGTTCTCTTAGTCTTAGTCTCAGTATCAGACTTGCTTGGATCGAGCTGGTTATGTGGAGAAGTGAGGTAAGCCCCTTATTCTACAAAAATTTCTTTGATTTTTCGTCAGTGATGAACGACTGAGGCTTTGGCAGAGAAGCTCTTCTCCTGTAGCGGACTTCAAATCCTCGCAGATTCGGCGGGAGCGTCGAGCACCTCGGCGCTTTCAAACGGCTCGCGTTCGGCCGCACATGGTCCGATTTTGTTGCGGTTTGTTTTGTTGAACTCAAAATATCCTAAGGAAGATTTTGAGCCCAAGTTTTTTAAAATTGGTCCATTCTTATGGATTTTAGAGAGGGGGGGATACTTACTTATTGAACGCCCCTCGTATTTATAATCTTACGAGCGATTCATGGATCGGTTTCTCAAGAGTTTGATTATTTAAGCCCAAAAAATCGATTAAATTTTGGTACGCTAATCTTTTTTCAAGGAGATTCTGGCACAGCTCGGAAATTATTATTTTTCATTATTATTACTATTTTTGTTTGCGTTTCTACCCTTTACGAGTGGTAAGATCGGAAAAACTGGAGCCTGGTTTTCCTCACTTCGGCGTTTTTCACAGCATATTTTGTTGATAATTTGTGTGAAAGAAAAAGGAGGCTTGTTTCGGTTGGAGTCGACCCTTTTTGGGTCAACCTGGAATAATATACTATTGTAAATGGTACATAAAATAGTTTACACAAATATGATTAAATCCTGTGTGAGGAGATTTCATGAATGAAAAGTTTTAAAAAAAAAAACAGTATTGACAGCTCGTAGATATCTCTACTGCAAAATTGTGAATCGACTATTACAAATCGTGATTTTAGCTGATTCACCGCAAGATCGTCTAGTAAGTCGTCTAAGTGAGCCTTGAAGATAGACGTTTGAAATGTATTTGTATTAATCCAGTTCGATTCAGCGCCAAAAAATTTGCTCCTGGTATAAGAATGACGGGCTGGATCCGTGAATCGATCTTTCAAAAGATCGATTCAAAAATCATTATCACGTTCCAAAACCAGGCCTGACATGCGCGGAAGATTCTTATAGAAAAATAGGTTTGGAACCACTTGAATTAAACGAAGACTCTATCAAACTGTTGCAGATCAGTTAAAATGAGTTGAGTGAATTTGCTTCATGGACATAAGCATCAGAGCGCCAGGCGGTGTTATTTTATCATCATATCAAACAACAGTGTCATTTTAATAATTCTTTTCTGTGTTATACCTTTCAAACAAGTGCTTAATGTCTTTTTGGAGAATTTTTCTAGCATGGAAAAAGTTTCAAAATTAGCTCATCATTCAGTCGCCGGGTCGCAACTTTTAATCTAATGTAAGCTGTTTTAAAGCTCCCTTTTCCTCGAAACTGCCGTAGATCAGTTTACAGCAAGTTAGGTAAATTTGCTTCATGTGCTTAGGCATCAGAGCAGCGAGTAGAATGCTCATCGTTTCTCAAACGACAGTGTGATTAAATAATTTGCTCTATTAGTTTTGAAGGGATGACACGATGTCCTTTCCAATCGTTTGTCATATTTTAATCGTGTAATGTGGTAAAAAGCAATGTCAATGATAAAAAAATTCTAAAATTTACCTTATTTGCTTCTGTCCAAGGAATGTAGCCAAGATTATGGGAGCGACGTGGTCTAGATCCCCATTGCTGGTCGTAAGAAAGCATCAAATAGTGGTTTTTGTCATAGCAGCATTGCTGCTCAGAGCCCTCCAAACTAAAAAAAAAAAAATAAGTTATGTCGACGATCGTTTATTTTAAAGAAAAAACTCAAATTTATGGCGAGAGGAAAAAAATTCTATAGTGAGTAAATGCCCCTTTTTCGAATATACTTTTCACCTTTACAGTTTGGGAATGGGAACGCGTTACTGGCAGCATGTCTCTAAATTGGTAGAGTCTATGCCCTACACCAACTTAATTTCGTAAAAAGTGGCAAAGCTACCCTTATACGGGCCAGCCGTCCATATAGAGATATGCTTCGGTACAATAGACAAACAACAACAACAAGAATCGGTTCTGTTAGTAGAGACTAAATAAAAAAATGAAATAAATGAAAATGTTATAAATGACATTGACAATAATTTAAAACTTAAGGTTTCGACGGGTTTATAGTAATGATAATAATCCTGAGTTTATTAGAAAAAGAACGGGTAATCTCCCCCAACCATCGATTTAAAAAAAAAAAGTATCAAAATCTCTCAAATCACCGATTTGTACAAATGCCAGATTTACACTTTAAAATAGAAAAGAGAGAGAGAGAGAGAGTGAGAGGGAAAAGGAGAATGATCATACCTTGGCGCTCCAGTCCGAACACAGTGAACAGCCCCTTTATTGTACCTGCAATCTGGATTGGCATCCTTGTCGCAATCGAAATCAGGCAGGAATCTACCTTTGTCCGCCAAAGCGTGTTCTAGAGTGCAAGGACACTGTGCAACCTGATCAAAATTAAGATAAACGTGCGATATGAAACATATGCGACTGGAAAAATTACGAAGATGCGCATGGTATGTGTGTACGCGCGATCCGGATAAAAGAGCCTTCATTGCTTCGGCTATGCAACCTTTACAACAATGAAGCACGAATAGTTGCACGCAAGGAGAGTCGATAACGTAGAGACATCGTCGTTAAGACATCGCGTGGGTATGTCAAAGCACTCAAAGCAGATACGCATGGGTCTGTTCCAAATTTTTGTCCGAGCGAAAATATAAATTTAATTTCTTTTTAAAATCGCTCTAAATCACAATGAGCTCATGAGAAAAAAAAAAATAAGGTAAATTTTACTCCTACAAAATTTCAATTTTTAACTTCAATGTGTTGTGTTTTCTTGCACTCACACATTTCTTGGTGGATTTTACTTGTAAGAAGTTGATTTCTCTCACACACATGTGCATTGTCATAAAGATCTATTTTCAATGTTTAAAATTACTAGAAGATATTTTTCACGAATATAAATGTCGCAAAACACGTTCCCCAATTACAACATTTAAATCTTTGCAATGGTTTTAGTTCATCAAAAAAAAAAAATTCAATGAACTTCATTTTTCAAAATTTTGACAGAATATTTTGCACGAAATGAAAAAAAAAACAGTACAAATTTCAAACAATAATTTTGTCGGTCCTTCTTAGAAAAACAAACCCAAAAATGTGTTGATAAGAAAAAAAACCAAAAATAAAGAAAGACTTCTTAATTGTGACAAAAAGAAAAAAAAAGAAAATACGAAAAAATTTAAAATGTCGCAAATCGAGGCTTTCTTGTGACTTTCATTATCAACATGCTGAGTTGAAGAAATAAAATTGACCACTGACAAAATTAGTACTTGCCAAACTTGTATTGTTTACTCTCTCGTTAACGTAGTAAAAGCATTACACTTAAAAACGCTTGTACTCAGAAATGTATTTAATTAGTTACCTCTGCGGCAAAGTTCTTGAGGTAACGATCATTTTTGAGCCATTCATCGCACATGCGCTCTGCCCACCGTTGGCCGTACATCCTTTCCCACTGACCCGAGAAATACCAAGCCAATGGAATCGGCTTGCTCCATAACACACTTTAAAAACAAATCAAAATAAAATATCATCATTTAAAACAAATATAAATCACTAAAAACTAATATGTAAACTCACATTTTCCGCTAGTGGGAAATTAAAGTTCACCTGAATCGTCAAATCGGACACTAACCATTTTCGGAATATTTCATGATGGAGGAATTTTTTTTCTGCGTGTTAAATTTTCTTCGAACAGATGCTTTGTAGTATAATGGATGTTCTTCACACAAAATGACGGAAACCCCCGAAGCGGCCTAAGCCGTGTTCTATTCATCTCATTTTATTTATTTTTTTTCCACCTTACGGACATTTTTGACACACTCCGTCATAATTGTAACACACTTCGCACGAGGACCTAACTAGTATATTTGGCTCTTCACGAATGACATATCGTTATTGGTTTATCAATACTCAAAAGTGTTGTATATTAAGGCATTTAAACGGACAAATTTATGCTAAAAGGAACTATGTGCATAGGATTTATGCGGAACATAGTTACTTTTAGCATAAATACATCCAAATATTAATTCCTGATTGGTTATGTAGTCCAATGGACCACTAGACAAGGTACGAATTTAAGCATTCTGATACATGTTTTTTAACCAAAATTTCACGTAAAATACGATGCGCACAACAAAAATTACCGAAATCAACTCCTCACGAAGATATTTAATGATTCCTGATGCGTGAATTCAAACCACCCGCTCAATAAAACTCAATGCTCTACGTGATTCACATCGTGCGTTGAATATTATCGTGACAGTCTCTGCGATATGAAAATCTGGCAACCACAATTTTGACGCTTTGGCTCAGCTATAGTAAACTGCTCATAATTTGAACAACACATGATGGGAAATGAACAGTGCTCGATTGAGAGGCCTGCTGAAACTGTTGTAGTGCGTGATTTGACTCACGTAGAGCTTTGAGTTTCTTATGAGCGGGCAATTCAAAATCCGCGTAACCAATGTGAAATAAAAAGGTTAATATCTTCGTCAGGAGTTAGTTTCAGTAATTTTCGCTGCGCGAATCGTGTTCTACGTGAAATTCTAATTAAGAAACATGTATCAGAATGCTTGAATTCGTGCCTTGTCTAGTGGTCCATTAAGAAGTTTCTATACTCACGGAGTGACAGAAATCCCAGCGTGAGATATCGGATCGGTAAGATTAATCTGTATGAAACCGAAGCGGAGATCCTTGACGTTCATCTCGTTGTTTCGACTGCGGTAGCTCCCAGGAGATATTGAATAGGATCCGGTATTTGGTACTCCATCCTGAAAATCATTGGTTCTTTTACAGAATTGTCGAAGAAAAACTGAACCGTAACAGCAGATAACCCTGGTAAAAATTGGCTGTAGAATCTGTGTTCCAAAATACCATAGACCTACGGCCGGCTGTAAGATTTTCAATAGCTTCTATAGCCGGCTACACAATTTCTTATAGCCTTTTATAGCCGATGGCGACTAAGCAACTCACAGCCAGGCGATAAAGTGTATGCTAAACGTCACTAATTACGGATGCTAAGACTTAGTGAGTTTTTGGACCACTGCTCTCTTTTTGGGCCGTAGTATCTTGATTTATTTTGCGAGGAAAGCTCCGTACTTTTGATGGATGCCTGCCATTCCTAGTATATTAGAGCGCCTTCAGTTTCGTATGATACTGTGCAATACCTCTGGTGTGAAATAGTTGCTTCAAGCGCCGTGGCACGTTGCGGTGCGGCAGGCGGGCAGCCAGCGCAAAACGCGCATTGGCGCCTACAAACCTAACAGGGATACTTCACGCGTTGCGCAATGCGTGAAGTATCCCAGTTAGGTTTGTAGGCGCCAGTGCGTCGCCGCTCCGCTTTGTGCTAGGCTCTAATATTTAATTTGGCGGAGTCAGCGTTATTCAACTCATGATTTTGAAATGTTTGCACATCCTGTATGGATTATTCTCGTTTCAATTGATGAAAAAAAATATGTATTACAGGAAAATATAACGTGTGTTTTGTAAATATTTAGGTGGTTCCGTATCAAACTTAATGATTTCCAAAGCACACGAATTTCTACACAATTTCTTATAGCCATTTATAGCCGATGGCGAAAAAGCAACAGGCAGGCGATAAAGTGTAAAGCCCGGCTATAGGAACTATAGCCCGGCTGCATAATTTTTTATCGCTTCATATAGCCCGGCCGTATGATTTTCTCCGCATTCTACAGCCAGCTATATGATTCTCTGTAGCCTTCTTTAGCCGGCTATAAGAATGCCTACGGTATTTTGAAACGCAGCTCTTATCGCCAATTTTTACCAGGGAATGATTATGTACGAAAGAAAGGTTCACATGAGTACGGATTTACGAAAGAGAATCAAGTCACAGAGAAAAAGTGATGACACCGAATGAAACCTCTTTTTGGTCGTCTCTTTGAAAGACATGAGAACTAGTTTTTTTTTCTTTCTTTCTTTCTTTTTCTTTTTTTCTTTTCTTTTTTTTCTTTTTTTTTTTAAGGAGACAGCTTTTCGCGTTAAATACAATTTTTTGTGTGATTGCGAAATTGTATCTACAGTAGAGCATATATTCATCATATGATAATACCATGGTATCATCTGTAGTAGTGCACCTAAATAAGATTTGACCTTCATTAGATCATTTTATTTTATAACCTTACATGAGTCGTTAGCCTTTGTAAGTTTTATAAAATAAAATTATGTTATTCTAGTCAAGCAATGCTTAGTGATATCATCATATCATGACTCTCCGATAATTATTTTATGTTAACGCCGCTAATTGTAAGGAAAATTAATGTTTAAATTCTTCTGATTAAAACTTTGATACTGAAAATGTTCTTCATGATAATAGATATTGAATATCTTCGACCACCTTCTTCGAGCAGACTTTTTCTTACCCAGGTAAGTTGCTTTTTTTCGCTGAGCGCTATGAGACTCTAACAGAGCTGTCTTCGTAAAAAGTATCCCATGATATGGAGGAACGAATTACGAATTCTCTTTAAAACGACACAAATCAGTGTAATCCTGTAATCTGAGTTTTACATAAACTGAACAGCACTCTTACCTCCAGCAGATCAATGTACAGAAGTTGCGGTAAAATAGTTGTTTCCTTGTAGCCATAAAGCGAGATTCTTAGAGGGGCATTCAAATTGGTGGTTAAATTATATTTGTTCCAGCTTATTTTGATCTCCTCGGGGTATGGCTCGTGAACACTTTTTGTATCGAAAAATATGCGCTCTGTCGCAGTAGCAGGTGTCTCTAAAAAAACATTAATAAATGAAAGTAGTGCAACTAATGAGGCATCTTAGAGAGATATCTTTCGATTTACGAAAGTATCGGATGCAATAAAATAGTCTAGAGATCTCAGGGAAAAAACCCACACTCTAATCTGAAAAGCTTCAATTAAAAAAAGAAATGGAATTGCAATATGCATCTCGTACTATAGGACAATGCATCAAGCTCGTGCTAGTAGACCCACTGATGGTCGTTCACCGACGTGAGGGCGTAACTGATATTTGAGTTGAACCCTATTGTCCATATAATTCCATGCCTTCGAGAGCTCATGTAGACTTAAAGTCAGGAAAAAGCGGCGTGATGAGGCCTGCGTGAAGTTAATACGTTACCTCATGAGTAACTTTGTAAACTTACCTACGAAGTATTTTCCTTTCCAGTTGTACTTGTCGTCATCAATTGCAATGTCAAAAATTACGTATCCTTCTGCCATTAGAAGAGGCTGTACGCAAATGGCACGATTTTTATTCACAACTGTTCCCACCACATCAACGATATCAAATCTTTACCAGGGCAAATAAAACAAAAAATTAAAAATTAATGACCAACATATATAATAATCTTAAAATAGGACAGGAAAAGGCGGGGACGAGGCTGAAAAACACAAAAATTTACAAAACACGGGACGTTTCATTTGTGAATTTTTGTGTTTTCCACCCTCGACCCCGCCTTTTCCTGTCCTATTTTATATCTATGTTCTCGAGCTGCCATAGTGTGCATTTATCTTTATATCACAATCTATAATATAAAATCATCATAACTTGTTATGACACCTACAGCGCAAGGGGTTTTCGAAGGGTATAGGACCGCGAAGCAGTTAGAAGGTGTACCAGTACCCCCTAATTGTGCGAGAAAATCAACCTTGAAATGAGTAAATTGTCCCTGAACACTCGGAACAAAAAAATTTGAAGAAAAAAATGAAATTAAAAGTGGAACTTGGTGCATATGATTTTTTTTAAATCAAATTTCTTGCATCGGTAAAATAAAAGCAATTGATGAAATCTCAAAATTTCATCAATTTATTGCAGATGGCCAAAATCCTTATGGTAGATCATTTTTATTGAAATTAAAAGAGAGCACTTTTTTCAAGTAATATCGACCAAACACCAGTTTAAATTTTTATTTTTAAATCAATCCCCTGCATTACCTCAAATTTGTTTTGACTAACAATTTTTTTTTTTTTTTTTTTTTTTTTTTTTTTTTTTTTTACAATGCATACAATGTAAATACATACTGTGTTTATATTTTGACCTGATGCAACATCTGATGGATGCCCTGGATTCAGTTTATGTTTTTTTAAAGCATGTTAACCCCTTATTGCATAGCGTTGCATGACAGCAACAAATGGTTTTCAGCTTTATTTCTATGCTGGAGAATTAAATTGAATTAAAGCAAGAAATGATTTTTTGGGAGCATTATAAGTTTGATCTCCTAACTTTTAAAAGAAACTACAAAGATCGATTCCAACCGACTCTATTGTCGAAAAAATACCGTACAATGTAGAATTTCTGTCCAAAATCAACGATTAGCTCATGCAACAAAGGGTTAATCATTTCTTCTAGGTCCATATATTCAAAAAGACCGAGAATATACTTACTTGCATCTAATTTTCATGTTGGGGGTGAAACATGGTCCCGTTATATTGACTACCGTTCCACCAAGCATGTTTCCACTTTCGGGGGCAAAGACAAGCGGCAGAGTTGCTCCAGCTGCAATGAATAGTCGTAAAACTCATTACGGTCAGTTCACTGAAAAAAATCTTCTCTCAAAAACTTGGAATACTTGGAAAACTTTAGACTTCGTAAGGTCAGTATTTGTTTTAAATAAAATCGTCACACTGAAATTTCTTCACTGGCATTAATGCAAGTTAAAGAAATCCGGACAGTTGACTTTTAGATATAAGATAAGATCCAAGAACTCCAGATAGGTTTCCTACTCAAAATTTCAAGCAAACTTATTTATTTTGTTAAAAAATTCAGATTCAATAGATTCGATGAAAAGTTAGTGTTTACATTTCGAGTTAGAGACAGAATATACAGTCTAAGCTCTCACTCACGAGTGCACCAAAATCAAGTTTAGTCTACCCAGGCAACGGAAGCAAATGTTGCCTTCGACTAAAATGGAAATTGATAGACGAAGCGGTAGACAAAGGTAGTCAAAGGGAAAATATGGAGCGATCCTTTTGGTTGAAACGAATGACTGCTGTAGACAAAGAGGGAAATGATGGACTAGATATCAGTCTATTACTCCTCTCTTGTCTTTCGCAGCCGCCTGCTTCCACCAATATCGGTCCATTTTACTCCGTCCCCTATGTCTATCACTTTGTCTATAAATTTGAATGATCAGATCGCAGAATAAGCCCACTGATTTCGTAAAATGTCCGTAGCGACATTAATTATAATCTTACCGGCATCTTTATTGCAAGTTCCGAGCATGATGTTTTCGTCAATTCGGAAAATATGCCGTCCGGGAAACCCGTTGGCCCAGCCACGGCCAGTGAGATCTCGAATTGTCGACCTCTGGGAATAAGGATAGTAATCATAACTGCGAGTCCCGTTTCCAGCGTTGAAACCCACCTGAAACAATCGACACCTTCAGAACAACCGGAAACAATAACGACATTTAGTTTGAGGATTAATTGGCGATTCCGCAGATAAAACCTGACTAACACTGAAAAAAGTTACGGGCCATATAGACATACCCTCCGTTCCGGGCTCAGAGGCCGAAAGTTCCGGGTGAAGAATCTGTATTTTCGATTTCTCCGGGTGCTACGCCCGGAACTCTCAGCCATTGAGACCAGAACACGAACGGTTTGTCTATATATAGCCCGTAAGTACGGCTTCCACTGCCGGAGTTTTTTTTTTTTTTTTTTTTTTTCCAGAGAAGTAATTATTCCGAGCAATCGCAAACCACGCCGAAAAAATTGGTTGGGAAGCATGTTTTAACCTGGAAACTGAAATCTCTCTACGGGAAATATTTTTGAGACACTGAGAATTTTTACTTTTTAATTTAAATAATATTTTTTTCAATTTCAATTTCAATATCAGTATCAATGGAGGCTTCTCCATTTTCCTTTCAAACATATTTAGAAAACTCTCTTTAATATATCCAAAAGAAATGGGTATCCGCCGTTAATTGAGATTCTGTTCAGAGATATTTTGCAATCACCGAGTTTTTCTCCGTCCGCACACAAAAATGCCTCATTTAGTCCAAGATCTCAGTGCTGATGGACTTTATCTCCATCCGCCATCTATTTCGCCTTCAATTGTGCGCTTAGGCATAATCACTTCCGTCACGCTCGGTAAGTTGTTCTAGTTCAATGGGCCTGTTGCAAACTTTTGCTGGAGCAAAAGTAAGGTGTGTTTCTTTAAGAAAATGGCTCAAAAATCATAATGAGCGCATCAACAAAGTCTGAAATGCAATCCTAACCTCACAATCTGCGTGAGAAATTCACGCTTTTTTGAGCTTCTCACCTCAGAAACGATACTACGGTACAGGTGAGCATTTCGTTAGAGGAATCGTCCCCTCAAACCTCTGTGCAGTGGGATACTGCACAATATTCAACATGGCCGACGCCAATCCGCCCAAACTGGCTAAAACTCATGTGCCGGGACGAAATTCTAACCATTTGTTGACAACCTGACGTATTTACATCCACGTTTTACTCGCGTTGATAAAGATCCGTCTTGATAGCGTCGGTTATGCTGAGTATTGCAAAACATTCAAGTACGCAAGGGTTTAATGGAACGACTCCTCTAACGAAATGTTCACCATGTGCCGTAGTATCGTTTTTGAAGCGGGAAGCTCAAAAAAGCGTGAATTTCTTACGCGGATTGTGAAGTTAGGAGTGCATTTCAGACTTTGTTGATGCGCTCATTGTGATTTTTGAGCCATTTTCTTAATGAAATAACCCTTACTTTTGCTCTAGCAAAAGTTTGCAACAGGCCCATTGATCATCCCCTGCTGGTCTCTTTTCACTAACTAGAACTATTGAACCAACCTAATGGCATATACAGGCTGATAATTAACATCCGTTTGGCAGAAATACGTCCATTTATGAATGACCCCCTATACAAATCGTGGCTCCTCTGACAAAAGAGCGTATCGACGGTGAAACTACCAAACCACGTATCACGGTTTGCGACGTCGCAGACTTCCTGTCATACTTTATTTTTTAAATGAAAAACTACTTAACGTCCAGTCTTGAAAATTTCAGTGATTTTTCCTCTTCGTGCGGAGAAAATTCTGTGAAAATTTCAAGGAATGATATTGATTTGGTCTACTTCAAAAAAATAAAATGCGTAGATTTTTAAACACCGCAAACGAGATACGTGGTTTGGTAGTTTCACCGTCGGTATCTTGATTTCCGCTTGACCCCCAGGAAGCATGCATGCATACGTAAAACGGGGTTCACTCGAAGATTAAGGTACGCCATTACGTCAGAGGGACGAGGAAATGACTCATTGGTATGTGTTTGGTAAGCATCGGAATGAGAGGCCGTAGTAAAGTGTAATCTAGGTACTCGATAGTGAGTGACTCACAAAGGCGGGGGTTCCTCCTTCGCCGCCGGAAGTGTCACCTCCCGCTTCCGTGTGACTCGTCCACTGCAAATCCGCGTAGTTGAAAATAGCGTACGTGAACACCTCATCCGTCGCCAGCACCAGTTGAAACGTGTTCGTCTAGGTTCCAAAAAACGGAAAATCGCATTATAAACAGAAGCGGATTCAGCAATTTGGCAACACGGGCTCCCTTCATTTAAACCTCGTTGAATGATCGATTCTTGTCGGAGCACCTTGCCTCTCCAATAATCGATATATTCCATTCTCAAATGGAGAGCTACAATGTTGCCAATTTTCTGGATACGCCAATTATTATAAACCCTATGGGCGGACATCAGGAGAATGGGTCACTAAACATTCTGTTTTTTATTCAAGGTGATTCGCATTACTGCCGTCGAAAGTAAAAAGGCCGTATCTCCATTCAATACTTTTTCAATTTTCTTCTGACAAAATGTTGTTTTAAAGAAAACGTAACAAATATTCAACCTTCATTTTTTCAATGCAACCGCGCCGCACCATTAGGAACTAGAAATGAAAAGATGAAGCCTTTCTGGCAATTGAATTTTCTTGTGAGAGAGCAGTACGTGCTCAAAAAAAGGAACAAATTTTCAGTTGAGTTACGACGTTTTTGTTATAGACGGTAGATAAGTCTAAATAATCATTCTAAACCAAAAAATTGGCAAAATGTAGAGAAGTGCATGAAAGCAGAATCCTGTTAGGAGAAAAACCTCGCATTCGATACAGTTGTTGATTTCTGTATCGAATGCGAGGTTTTTTTTCCAAGCCAATTGATAGTTTAGAACGATTCTGTAGGCTCATGCGGAGGGGCTGTACCTAGTTCTTTTTTCGGCTAAAAATTCAAAATCTTCCAAGATTTTTTACCTAATCGGTGCGATATATTGCATGCCAGTTCGACCACGTCAGGAAGCTTGACGAATCACCCTTAATATTCTGCTAAGAGTATCAGACGAGAAGATTGCGTGGTGATCTATTGCGCATTTTTGGACTCAAAATTCCGAAAACCCCCGCTCTTAAAAAGTCCAAAAGCCCCTACCACACAATCGAAGGAGAGCACCTGTGGTCACGTGACCTCACGTAATGCCACTTTGAGAGCTCTACTTGGATTTTTTCGACTCGAAGAGACGAAAGATGACGGAAATGAAATATTCAGTATAAATACGAGTTAGGGCATCACTGACAAAAAGAGTGCGTATGTCATGTATGTTAAGTTCATAATGCTGCGTAATACAACATCTAATCTGAACCGAAGGCCGGTTCTTAGATAGAAAATTTTGGCCAAAAGTTTTGGTATGTCTTTTGGACAAAAATGTATTTATCTTTGTATTTTTCTTTTTTTCTGTGAACATCGTCCTTTCAAAAGGGGATGATAAAAATTTTTACCTTGTACAAGGAGTTATCTATGCCTCCGGCGAAAGACATGTTCTTCCAGGTGACGATTACAGAGTGTTTGGGGATGAAAGTTTCAGCCCCTACGACCCCTTCGCGAATGTCCCACATTAAGCGCTCTCGCATTTCTACTCCAAAAATGTCCGTCCGAGACTGCAAATCTCTCTCCAGCCTGGAAATAAAGCAGAAATGTCTTAAATTAACTACAGTAATTTTACAGAATTTTTAGGAAGATCGTGGACTCTGAATTTAAGTTGTTTTAGATTCACAGCATGGAAAATGTTACAAGAAGATTATCTAATTTTACTGAGTATTAAGTTTAAGTGATTGCATCACCGCGAATTGCGCACAAATTACATAACTAGTGTAACAAAAAATTTGGAAAAAAGTTACAATGCAATGCAATACAGTTTCATTTTAACGATCGTAAATTTCAATATTGCACATCCCTGGTAAAAATTGCGATAGGAGCTGTGTTTCAAAACACCATAGGAGCTCTTATAGCCGACTAAAGAGGGCTATTGAAAATCATATAGCTGGGCCGTAGAAAGCGGAGCAAATCATATAGCCGGGCTGTACGAGGCTTTAAAAAAGTATACAGTCGGGCTATAGTTCCTATCGCCGGGCTTTACACTTTATCGCCATTGACTATAAAAGGCTAATAGAAATTGTGTAGAAATTCGTGTGCTTTGGAAATCATTAAGTTTGATACGGAATTACCTTAATATTTACAAAACACACATTATATTTTCCTTCAAAGTATATTTTTTTTTTCATCAATTAAAATGAGAATAATCCGCACAGAGTGTGTAAACATTTAAATATCATGAGTTGGAAAACGCTGACTCTGCGAGATTAAATATTGGAGCCTAACACAAAGCGGAGCGGCGACGCACTGGCGCCTACACACCTAACAGGGATACTTCACGCATTGCGCAATGCGTGAAGTATCCCTGTTAGGTTTGTAGGCGCCAATGCGCGTTTCGCACACTCTGCCCGCCCGCCGGGCGGCAGCGTGACACGGCGTCTGATGCAACTATTTCACACCAGAGGTATTGCACAGTATCATGAGAAATGGAAGGCGCTCCAACTTATTAAGAATGACAGGCATCCTTCAAAATTACAGAGCTTTCCTATAAATCTATTCCAGCTATTCCATAAATCAAGATACTACGGCACAAAAAGAGAGCGGTAATCCAAAAACTAACTAAGTCCTAGTATCCGTATTTAGTAACGTTTAGTATAAACTTTATCGTCTGGCTGTTGCTTAATCGCCATCGGCTATAAAAAGCTATAAGAAATTATACAGCCGGCTACAGAAGCTATTGGAAATCTTACACCCGGCTTTAGGTCTATAGTATTTTGGAACACACATTCTACTGCCAATTTTTACCAGGGACCACTTGGTCAATAAATGCCTATTTTAAACAATCAACATGATGATTTCCCAGTATTAGAAAGATGAGACATCCACAATACAAAGACAAATTATAGCTTATTCCAATTTTGCCGCAAAAAACTTCTAAAATAAGAGCCCCTTCAATTTAAGGATACGCAACATACACAACGCTCTGACGCAAGAGCAATATTTTCTTTACTATGTAATCGCACTTTATTTCGACCTTTGCTTCAGGGGGATTTGAGCTTTCGACGTGAGGCGTATAGAATGCTTCAATTTTTCGCGGATGTTTAGATGAATAATTGTCTCCAGAATTGTAAGGGGTTCTGTGTCTATCGACATTTTATTCCATCAACATTTTATGGGGCCGTTCATAAAATACGTAAAGCTAAATTTCAGATTTCCACCCTCCTCCTCTTGGTACTGCTTTTGTGACGTAGGTCCTTATCCGTAAATACCTAAAAACAAAATGACGTAACACTCACCTCGACCCTTCGAGCGATACGTATTTTATGAACTACCCCTAACTCTCTAAAATCAATAGAAAATTAAATCCCACAATTTTCCCATAAGAACGCACGAGAAGGTACCTGAAATAGACTCCTGGTGCGCGCTGATCTACGTCGGAAGCTCTAAGAGCTCCGATCCGGCATTTGCTGTAGAATATTCCGATGAAAGAGGGGTCATTTTTCTTGGGCCAGTCCTTGTTCGGAAACGAGAGAGGGTAGGTGAAGTGCTCAGGCGGATCGCTGAACTCCAGATATCCGTGCATCGATAACTGTCGATTTTCAGAAAGGAAAGAGAAAAGTTAATGACGCTTTCATAAGTCGGACAACCACGAAATTCGTTGCTCTATGAACGGAGAACTCTACGGCTGGATTAAGCAGAGAGTAACCGAGTAATGAGTTAGGAGCAGTTTTGATCTTAAGTAGCCGTTGCTATTTTTTTGTATTATGTCGATGGCCAAAGTGCGAAACCACGTATCTGTGCTCGCGACGTTGCAAACTTCTTGTCATACTTCATTTTTTTTTTTTTGGAAAACTAGTCAACGTATAATATCTTAAAGTTTTCCTTGACTTTTCTTCTCTGTTGACAGTGTGTATTGTGTATAAAAGTTGGCTTGTTTCTCTTCAAAAAAATTTGATGGGAGTGCAAATTTTGAAACGTCGCAATGGATATACGTGATTTCGCACTTTAGCCATCGATGCGTGTACCATTAGATCCCCGACACATACATTACGAGTGAGCCAAAAATTGAAGTTCCGAATGGGTCAGCTCCACTGGTCACAATAGTATTTTGATGCTTGATTCTTGTAGATTTGCTGAAAATAATTCGATCAAACCAAACAGCAATTTTCTACGTTCAATTTGAATAGAGATAAAGCGCTTTGAAGAATGCGGTTTATGACGTCATCCACTGCGGAAGTGACGTAACATTGGTTTCTTACACATTGGAAGCATCAACCAGAGAGATATCGACGGCGTAAGTCCGCAATCACATATCTTGTTTGCGATGTCTGAAAATCTCCACTTCTATGTTGGCGCGTATACGTAGTATACCGCCTTTGCGATCGTTTCGACCCCCCCCCCCCCCCCCCCCCC